TGGGCCTCTGATGAAGGACAGTGGACAGGGTTTAGGAATAGGAGCTAGTGATACTTGGAATATTAATGGACTGTGGTCTGAGGAAAGTTCATCAAGGCATGCAATGGAATAGTTGAGGGGACCTAGACCACTGTGGATGAAGAAACCAAGGATATCGGGATTATGGTTAGGATTAGTGGGCCAGTGGGTAGTTGAATTTGGGTGAGCGAGGTTAAAATGTTGGGAATTGAGTGCAGACAGCAATTGTGGACCTTGTGAATTCGTGGTTCTTGAACCCCATTGCTGATGCTTGCCATTTAAGTCTGCACTCAGGATGAAATGGTGTCCTAAGGAATTGAGGAAGGAACTCAATTGGATATTAGAGATGGATTGGTTGGGATGGCAATACGCTGATGCAAGGGTAATAGGAAACGAGAAGGTTTTGATTATGATAACAGTGGATTGTAGGAAATCGTGAATAGGTAATGGGAGTAGGTGATGAGAGAGGGATTGGTGTACAATGACTGCAGTACCGGCTCATGCTCTACCGTCAGGATGGACAGTACAATATGTTGAGTACTGAGGTATATTTAAATTTTTTTTTTTGTCAGTCGAGTTTCCGTAATAAGAGCTGCATCGACGTTCTTGTCTAGTAATAAAGCTATTAGTTCGTCAGTCTGTTTTCTAACACCATTCGCATTCCAAAGGAGAATGGATAAGGGTTTGATGGAATTCATTTAAGGATTTTTTTAAAGGAGGGATGAGGTGAGATACTACATTTGTAAGGAGAGATATCATTGGGGTGATGAGGGATTTGAATTCGGTGAGGAATGATGCCAACAAACTGTTAAGATCAGTGGCTTATGATGGAGGAGGAATATAAGGAATGTGATGTTGATGAGGTTGTTGAGAGTTTTGTACATTAGGAGGGATAGGGTGTTGAAGTTTGGATTCCTGTTGCGGCAGGGCCTCACATTTATCAGTCGGGACTCTACCCCCTATTGACTGAGAATAAGAGAGTCTACTATTTTAGCTATTTTATAGGAAGGGAATTCCAGAAATCAACAGAGCGAGCAATAATGGAGTTTTGGAATGAGGCAGATCTGTGAGAAGGAATGTAAAGGTCGGAAGGTTGAGATCTTGTGGAAATAAAATGGACTGAGGACTTGAATTGGAGAAGGTTGTAGACGTAAGAAGGACGATGATTCGATAGAGGAAGGTACCTAGGAAATATTGTCTTCGAATGAAGGGGAAGAGCCACTTTAACTCAGTGTAGTGGTGAGAGATATGGGAGTATCTTGGGGCACCTATTACAAATCTTATGCAGATGTTCATTAATCTTTTCAGTCTGTCACTGAGCTCCACCGAGAGTCCATCATACACCACACAGCTGTAGTCAAAGTGAGGGAAAATGAGAGAGGAAACCAGGAGTCTACACGTACGTTGAGGTAGGAGATGGTGGGAGCCATGGAATAGTTTGAGGGTAGAAATTGTCTGTCGGGAGATGTGAGAAATATGGTGATTCCAGGAGAGGGTTTGATCAATGAAAAATCCTAAATTTTTGACAGAGGAGTAGAAGGAGATTGGTTGGTCATTAATACATCGCTCTTTCGGGAATATGTGTATGGGTGGAGAGACACAATTGGCCCTGCACATTTCTCCCTGGAAGCGGCAAGAAGACCACCTGAGGAGGGCGAAGAACATTAAGAAAAGACCGGATGGATGCGGTGCGGACAAGGTGCGGCCCATCATAAAAGTGCACAATCGTGTACCGGGCCGCACCATAGTTACTCAATTGTTATTGTGCCATAAATTAAAATTTTCCCAAATAATTGTAAAATAAATGATCACAATAGTGTTGATTATTGGCAGCAGTGGGCATACGAGAACCCAAACGTATTAACCCACTGCTGCCAAAACACCATATGGCAACAATGCCAGGTAGGGCGGGAAAAAAAAAAAAAAAAAAAAAAAAGAGGTTTGTCATTAAGGTTTAGTATGGGAAAGTTGGTATAGGATCTAAGAAGGGGCTTGGAACCAATAACAATGGCCTGAGTTTTAGCAGCATTTAACCTTAATCTGTTTTAGTTATCCCAGACACTGATTCGATCTAGATCTTCTTGGATCTTAGTAAATGCTACCAATAGCTCAGGGGGAGAAAAGGATAGGATATATTTGAGAATCGTCTGCATAAAGGTGGTGGGAACAATGGAGAATTGAGTCGTGTAGGTCGTTAATATAGGAACTAAAAAGGAGAGGATATACGCTAGATCCTTGGGCAACTACAGAGGATAAAGAAAGGTAGGCAGATAGTGGTTGATTAGGTATGGAGACTGGTTGGGTGCGTTGTGAGAGAAAAGATTAGAACCAAAAGATGGAGCAATTGGAGAAGGACAGTGATTTTAGTTTGTTGAAAAGGATGGGATGGTTAATGGAATCGAAGGCTTAGGAGAAGTCAAGAAGTATGAGGACAGTTAATTGTTTATTATCTTTTGCAGTCTGCACATCATTGGTAATTTTAATTAAAGCGGATTGTGTGGAGTAGCCGGGACGGAAACCAGATTGGAGAGAATCAAGTTGGTTGGATTTTTCAAGGAAATTGGAAACTTATGATTGCACTAATCTTTCTAGGGATTTTAAAGATTGGAAAGAATTGAGATTTGGCAAAAATCTTTGGGAGAGGATGGATTAGGCTTCTTTTTTTTAAAGGGAGGACAATGGCTTTTTTCCAAGAGATAGGGAATATTGAGTTCTGTAAGGAGAAATTGTTGAAGAAAAGGAGAACTGAGAGGATTTCGGAAAGACATAATTTTATCAGTTTGACAGGAATGCCATCTGGTCCTATAGAATTGGTGTGGGATTTCATTACAGCGTTTAGTAGGTCAGGGGAGAAAATAAAAGTCATCATCATTGAATGAGGTAGAGGAGGCAGAAAATAAAATGAAAGGTTAAATTTTTATTTGGAGCATGGGTGTTAAGAATACTTAAGGAGGTTGGAAGTCAGGATCTCAACCATAGAGTCTATGGAGGAGCAGGAACATATTCCGTTTAAGTCTAAAGTTTCAAGATCAGGTAGTATTTTTTCATGGGTGAGAGTGTCTAGGTGACGGAAAGTGAAGGTTCTCAGACGAATGGAGTTTGGATATTATGTTATTATCATCAGGTCGTGAGATGATAAGAAGGATACTGGCAGTTGAGAAGAGGAGAGGAGATTTTGTTCGGAGTCTATAATGAAGAAATCTAACCAAGTATCGGCCTTGCAGGTGTGGTGAGTAGAGTAAAAAGGAACAATAAAGAGATAAAGGGAGAAAAATATATTTTGTCTTCCGAATTAGAAAGGAAATTGGTATTGAGATCACCGGCGATGATTATTCTAGGATAGAGGGGAACAAAGTTGAGTAGGGTTGATTCTAAGGACGGATCAAGTGGAGGACGACAGATCACTATGTAAAGGAGAGAGAAATTTATTACAGGTAATTTCTACTAGTAGGTACTCAACTTGTGGATGTTCGGAGGGTGGGCAGTAATCAAGGATTCGGTGCTTCAGCCAATCATATAAATATGGTTCCCCCCCCACCACCAGTCCGGCTGGCCCGGTCGTGAAGGATGAGGGTGTAATTAGGTAAGGAGAAAGACGAGGACGGAATATAGGGTTCGAGCCAGTTTTCTGAGATTGCGATGATATGAAAAAAGTTTTGAGAAAAGTAAGTGACAAGTGGTTAAGATACTAGACATAGAGAGGATTTGATGGGAAACAGTCAGAAATTAGTATAGAGGGAATGAAGCATATATATTCTTAAAGACATTTAAAATAAGTATCAATAAGGAAAATAAAAGTAAATATTGAAAAAATAAGTGTGTAACAAGAATAAGAAAATAAACAAATTAGTAAGCAAAAGTTATGAGACAGTTTAACCAAAACCTTCAAAATTATTTGGGTATCAATTAAAATAAGAGATACTTTGATGAAGGAGAAGTGATGAAACATGTCCAGTGAGGTGAAAACACGTCGTTCCTCACTGACTGCCTGACGAAATGTGCTATTACAGGCGTTGGTCACAGGTCATCGTTCTTGCTTCTGTGGCACTGCACCAGATCCACATTCTCCACACTAAGCTTGATGCCCAGCCCCGCAGCTATACTGGTCACCAGAGCTGCGGGTGTCTCGCCTGCTCGCACTGGTATCCCACGGATCTCCAGCGATCTACATAATAGACCCTGTTTCTTTTTTGTTCAGGCGGATCTCTAAATCCCCGACTCCAGTCTCATCTCTAAATCCGGGACTTTGAGGGCTTTATTTTCCAAAATGATCTCTTCAAAATGTTTGGCTTGGTCTTCAAGATGTTTTTCTGATTTCGATAACCTCTCATTCAGTTCAATGCTGAGGTCTCCATATTTATTAAGGGCTGTCTTCATATCTCTTATTTCCTCACTAACATGGTTATCCAGTCTATTAACTGCTGCTAATATTTCTGATGCGGGTGGTTCATTGATTAAATTTTGTTTCTTTGCTTGATCGCAATTTAGGTACATCCATGTTTTTTTTGTAGATTTCTGAGCTTCTATCTCTTTGTCTGTGAGATTAAAACACTTGCCGTGATAGATAACTTTGCACTTGGCTCAACATAAATTGTATTAATCTTCATGGACAATAGCGTTATTACAAATTGTACACTGGACCATTTTATAATAATAAAAAATAACTTACAGTATATATATATATACATACATACATGTATCAGAAGCTCAGTGAGTCAACATTATTTATATTTACCGCTTTTTTGGGAGCTAATTAGCTAAATAATATTTTAGGTTCAATTTAGTTGAATACTTAATATTATTTGGGAATATACAATTAAAATAATGAAAACTTAACTGGATTATTATAGCAGCAGACCCAATATTATTTTAAAATTATCTTTGTTTAAATTATTATTCAAATTTGGTCTATAGATCTTTTTTGGTTATAGATATTAGATAATACTATTATATTTATTAATTTTTAAAAATATTTGTTTTAGATTACAGGGATACACAACAATGGAAATACCAACACATTTAGAAATTCAAGAATGCTTAGTTAAATTGGGAGACAAACCAAAAGAATTTAGAGGCAGTAAAACTTGGATAGGATCTACTGAAGTTGCATACGTATTAGAAATTTTTGTGAAATCTCAATCAATTATTTTAAATGTTGCTTCTGGTTCTGAAATGGGTTCTATAGGCCAAGCAATTTATGAACACTTTGAACTACATGGTATTCCTGTCATGATAGGTAAGTTAATTTATTTATATCTTCTTCATGTACTGTTGGTCAGTTGAATATCATGTTTTTCTATTGGAAATAATTGATTGCTAATCAATTGAAAAAATACACCATGGTTATCAGTATTCAATTAATAATATTTTGAAAGTTTGTATTTATTTACGAGTGACCTCTTAAAAGGCAATTTATGAATCTTTGGTGAAGAAATGGTGCATAATGTTTAATCAAGGAAGAACCAGTGTGCACGACACAAAGGCTGAAGTGGATGGTCATCACTCATTATGGACGAGTTTAAAGAATAAGTTCAAGGAAAAGTTCAATAATGGGAAAGGAACATTTTGAGTAGAAAAGAGGTAATAATGAATAACTTAACATCTGCATTGAAAAACTGGTGCCATTTAAGGTGCTCTGGAGTTTATGGTCCCAGGGGATAACTGAGCCAGGTGTACATACACGGTGGCTCCTGACCTGGAAAACTTGGAAAAATGTGAAAATTCAGAGAATTTTTTTGGTTCATACAATTTTTTTTCAAATTGCAATTAATATACGGCGGATGTCGTTTATAATGAATGACCTTAAGGGAAGTGGTAAACTTTGTTGTTATAAACATATAATTGTTATAATGACGACGGCAGCTATATCTATCCAAATTGATGTTATTTTTCTTTGTCAAAACTACTTAGTTCGTGCCTCCTGTCCCGAAACTTAAAAATTAGAATTTACCAAACCATTATCCTTCCCAATGTTCTTCATGGATGCGAAATGTGGCCTCTTACATTAAGGGATACCTACATCTTAAGGTTTTTGATAATAAAGTGTTGCACAGAATATTCGGACCAAAGAAGCATGCTGAATTGCGCGAACTGTATCCGGTTAATATAATTGAAGTTAAGCCAAATAAAATGGGCATGTAAAATTGCTGGGCTCAATAACGAAACAATTCCTAAAAAATTTAATATGCGCTGTGCCAACTGGCAAGCGTCCGGAGGGTAGATCAAAGGGAAGGTAGGAAGATTCTGCTAAGGCTAATCTGGCATGGTTGGGTTTAGATGCTTCACAGCTAATTTTTAAAAGACAATATTATGTTGGGAGTAGAATCTTTGAATCCATCTTTGTGAAATACTAGTTTAAGATTCATCTAGAGGATCGCGAATTGGTTTAAGTATTTGTTAGTCTTTTTGAGTAAAATCTGACTTAAAGCTGATATAGACTAGGAACTACCAATCATTTCATTCAATGGAAACATCAAATTCAGATTCAGCATCTCAAAAAACATTAAAAACCGAAGAGAAACCAACTATTTGAATTTTTTCGTCATCCAACTACCATCCGACTGGCCTAATTTGATGACTTTGACGTCGTCAGTTTTCGAAACGAAATCGAGTACATCTTTAGTCAAGGTATATTCTCTTTTAGGGACATATTCTTCACATCATAGCAAAATTTTAGCCATCAGTTCTTCCGTTAAATGAAGTATTAAATTTCGCCTCTTTAATTTAAATTTTCCTTTAGTAACAACAGCTTTCAACCATCTGACCTAAGTTTTATGTTCAGATGACATTTATCTAGAATTTAAAATGGTTACTAGCTACAAGTTCTTCCATTAAATGAAATTGTCGGTAGCTCATAGTCTAATAGCACTCTAATAGAATATTGAAAAAAAAAAACAATTTTATCGTTAGTAGATAGATAGTTGTTGTTTTTTAGATTTAAATGATTCAGGATGTCCTCGAGTAGATCTTACAATTTTTTCAAATTGTAAGATTTATGTTTAATTCTTGAGCTACGCTACTATTAGACTCTTCCCTCTCCAGTCGGCAACATACATAGAATTTTTTTTTGAGCAAAATCTTTTTACTGTTCGTTATTCTTATTAAACTACTAAACAGAAATATGAATTGAACGCTGAGAGTGGGAATGAAATTGACCCCATAAATGTGATACTTATATAGAGAAGGAATGAAATATATAAAAACGGAGGTTTTAGGAGTTTTGAGAGTATTAGGAGTTCAACTGTTGCTATATCCGATCATTTTTTCTAAAAACTATATTTTTTTTTTAAGCGACATGAGTGCACTGCGGCCATGTAGGCATATTGTACGCATTTATTTAAAGTCACTCTTGTTTAGAGCGTAATTCCTGCAGTCTCAATGAACTCTAATAAGCTTGTTGGATTGATGAACTTGGTTGCCTTGGGATCAGTCTCCCTATCAATGCTGAATAATCGGAATCTTAGTCCAGCAAACTTGTCGCACCAACAAGTAATGGGATAAGCTGTCTCATCCTCCTGGCCACCGTATTTACAAAGAGACGACTCCATGAGCCGGAGATTGAACATGTAATAATTCAGTTTACAGTGCCCAGTATATGCCGCTGTAATTTTCTTAAGTGAGCTCCTGCTCAGATTAATTAGTAGATTACTTCTTTTTTGACAGATTTCTTGCAAAAACAGTCTAGAGTGAGTCTGTTTTTCAAGCACCAGTACCTTTTAGTTTCAGCACCATAGATCTCCCCATTCTGTTTGTTATTAGACACTGACTAATTCCACAGATGGGTTCTGGAGCTATAGGTATCATTTGTGAACCTAGTCTAGCTAGTTCATCCCCCATCTCATTACCATGTATTCCAGAGTGACCTGGAACCAGTGTTGGGCATTTACTCGAGTAAATGTCCAGTAGTGACGTCACGAGTGATCACTCTTGGAAGCTTAGCCATGAGTAATTTTGAAAATTACTCATGAAATATTTTTTCTTCATGAGTAAATCACTCGTGAAAAATCTTATCTCCATGAGTAAATTACTCATGAAGCATTTTAACGCAATGAGTAATTTAAAAAAAAAAAAATGTTTTTATTTTATTTAATCTAATTTTTTTTTCACCTTTCCGATTTATTCGATATCAGGGCATGGACTTTTTTAAACTTTTCGGATTAAATCGATATCAGGGTCGACTTATATGTTTTGGGGGGCCCTTTTTATGAAAATGATATCCAATTTGAGTTTGGGCCCCCCGGGCATCGACTTTTTTAACTTTTCGGATTAAATCGATATCAGGGTCGACTTATATGTTTTGGGGGGCCCTTTTTATGAAAATGATAACCAATTTGAGTTTGGGCCTCCCCCCCCCGGCCACGCCTTTTTTAAACTTTTCGGATTAAATCGATATCAGGGTCGACTTATATGTTTTGGGGGGCCCTTTTTATGAAAATGATAACCAATTTGAGTTTGGGCCTCCCCCCCCCGGCCACGCCTTTTTTAAACTTTTCGGATTAAATCGATATCAGGGTCGACTTGTATGTTTTGGGGGGCCTTTTTATGAAAATGATATCCAATTTGAGTTTGGGCCCCCCGGGCATCGACTTTTTTTAACTTTTCGGATTAAATCGATATCAGGGTCGACGCTTATGTTTTGGGGAAAGCCCCAAAAGGCTCAATCTTAAATCCGACATCATTTTCATAAAAAGGGCCCCCCAAAACATATAAGTCTACCCTGATATCTATTTAATCCAAAAAGTAATAAAAGTCGAGGCCCGGGGGGTCCAATCCTAAATTCGATATCATTTTCATAAAAAGGGCCCCCCAAAACGTATAAGTCGACCCTGATATCTATTTAATCCGAAAAATTAAAAAAAAGGAGAGGCCTGGGGGGCCCAATCCCAAATTCGATATCATTTTTATAAAAAGCGCCCCCCAAAACATATAAGTCGACCCTGATATCTATTTAATCCGAAAAGTAATAAAAGTCGAGGCCAGGGGGGCCCAATCCCAAATTCGATATCATTTTCATAAAAAGTGCCCCCCAAAACATATAACTCGAGCCTGATATCGATTTTAACCGAAAAGTTAAAAATAGTCGAGGCCCGGGGAATCTCAAATTAGATAACATTTCCATAAAAAGCGCCCCCCAAAATATATAAGTCGACCCTGATATCGAATAAATCAGAAAGGTGAAAAAACAATTAGATTAAATAAATAAAAACATTTTTTTTCTTAAAAATTATTCATGGCGTTAAAATTTTTCATGAGTGAATTACTCATGGAGATAACATTTTTCACGAGTGATTTACTCATGGAGGAAAAATATTTCATGAGTAATTTTCAAAATTACTCATGGCTAAGCTTCCAAGAGTGATCACTCGTGACGTCACTTCTCGACATTTACTCGAGTAAATGCCCAACACTGCCCGGAACCCATTCAATGTTTACCTTATTAAGTCTGGATAAGTCATTGAAAATTCTAACACAATCCCCAATATCCTTAGATCTAGTTGTATAGTTGTCCAGTGCTCGTATGGCCGCTTGACTGTCAATATATATTGTAATTCTTCTCCCAACTAACCCGTCAAGCAACATCTTTGAGGCACAGTGAGTTATTGCCAGTATTTCAGATTGGAACACTCTTGCATAATTTCCAAGTGGTATTGACATGCCAGCCTCTGGTTTATCCCTTCTCCAAAAACCAGCACCAGATACGTATGGTTCGCTGCAGGAAAGGTACGATACAGAAGACAGGATGAATCCCCGGTCATCATTGTCAACAAAAAGGAAGACATTAAATTGCTGGAATGAAATAGGTCTCACTGTTCCCTCCAACCTCTTTTTTATGAATATCTTTTATTTTCATTTTCTTTTTTAAATATGTTATTGTTCTTTTTTGTTTCTATAGTTCATAATAATTTATTCTATTGCTTATTAAGTATTTTTTTTGAAAGATGAAATTTTCTTATTTTACTTCGAATCAGATTTTAATTTTTTCTATGCTTACCTTCATTTAAAGATTTCAAGTAAGATCTATGTCAATATTATGTACATAATTTGTTATTATATCTCATTATGTAAGTTTAAAAATGTGCCTACTCCATCAATATTAACACCAATTTATCACACTTCGCAGATTGTCCTTACCCTGACCTCTTCATGACCAATACCTTAATATCCTGTCATGTTAACTCCCAATCCCTTCTAGCACATTATGACGAATTCCTGGATTATTTTCACCATAACTTCCAT